CAAATTGATCATGGTTTTCGGCCACACGATCGTGATCGAACGACCGAGACGATGGAGGGGGGTTTGGCTGGGCTTTGGGTCACTTTGGAGAGGTGTTGGGCTGCAACACACATGAGGCCTTTACGGTTCCTCGGTTAACCGTTGGAGTATCAAACGAAGTCCAAATGGCACGAAACTTGACAGGCGGTCTACGGGTAGTAAACCAAGGCCGCTTGGAAAGTCTCGGTCCAATCCAAGAATGTTTAACACCCGCACACAAAAAGAGGCAAAAGGGGACGCCGGAGGACATAGAAGCGCCGGAATGCAAAACGGACAACGGGGAAAATGTTCGGATGCATGAAACGAACATGTATGCAAATGTGATGCACATGATGACATGATATGAGATGCATGACAAAGACAAAAGCAACACGGAGACAAAACCCAACAATTAGGAAATAAAAATAACTTAGTGCCGAAAATGGCAAGAGTTGGAATACAAATATGGCAGGTTACATATGGGGCATTACAGTACATGACGTGATCCTTGGATTCCAAGAGGTAATGATCTTAGACCAATTACTCCGAATAGGAATTGTTGGCTTAATCATGTTTCAGACTTTCTGTTCAACCATGGTGGATGGAACATGGACCGTCTTTAATAGCATTTTTGGGATGTAGATGTGCAGCAAATTCCAAGAATACGTACATCACCGAGAGGCCGTGAAGATTTTATTGCCTGGTTTCCGGCAAATTCTGGACAGATTACTGTTAAGAGCGCCTACAAACTCGCTTCTAAAGACCATGACGATTCATTTGCAGGAGAGGTTTCAAGTATGTGCCAAGAGGGGGATCGATCCGTGTGGAATTGTCGGGTGGTAGGTGCGACATATGCCAACGGGTGGCTTATCATTGTGGGAGCCAGTAAGACGTCGCCGGTGCCTGGAAGCGGGATGAGGCGGAGACATGCACGCCGGCGAATCTTACCCAGCTTCGGGGCTCTCCGTGGACATAACACCCCTACTGCTGCTCTGCGGGATCTCCGCATGATCACTAGATGAACAAGTAGCTACACGATGCTCCTTGAGCTGTTTTGTGAGAAGAAGAAGTAGAGCACAGCTAGCCCTCCTCCCCTCTCTATGTGGTGTCTAGAACTAGCTTGGATCGACCCTTTGCATGGGTGTCCCGGGGGGTTTATATAGGCCTACCCCCCGGGGGTACAATGGTAATCCGGCTGGGCGTGGGGCCCAGCCGTCTGTGACTACACTCGTCGGCTTCTGCGCCGGCTGCTGGGGCCCGCCGGCTGTCGGCTCCTTGGTCGACAGGTAGGCCCCACTGTCCAGGGCCTTGTCGGTGGCTGGTTACTGTTGCTCAATCTTGGTGACGAGGGCTTCGCCGAGGTGGGCGTGGCTATAGTGCCGCCGTCCGGCGGGTGATCGCTGTAGCCTCACCGCGTCTTGTCTCCTTAATGGGGCGTCTCCTTCGAGGGAGGTGGCAAGCCGGCTATGGAGAGCCGGCTCTGTCTTGGGCCGACTGGGGGAGGCCTGGCCGCCTTCGGGTGTCTCTCTGCCCGAAGGGGCCCACCGCCCGTGGGCCGCACTGGCAGCCCGTCGTGGATGACATCAGGTTCAACGTGGCAACAGTGCCGTGCCGGACGGGCCATGGCCACCCGTACGACGCACTGTGCCAGGTGTGCTCCGGGATTCGGGGGTGGCAGGCTTTACTGTAGCCACGCCCCGTCACATCGCCGTTATGTGGATGCAAACTTCGAGGGTACGATCTTGACCGCTTTGTGGGAGCCGGCTTCTTCTTGGAGTCGGCCTTCTCGCGGCCGGCTTCTCGGAGCCGGCCCTCCCGCGGCTTTCTTCATGAGGGCTAAAGTCGGGTCGCCTTCCGATAGCCGGCCTGGGAGACAGCCGGAGAGGGGAAGGCGGCCCCACGTCTTGGATTCTTGAGGGCCGGATCGGCTTGTAATTTTTCAGAAGAGCCAGGGGGTGCCGGCTAGGCTACCCGTGGTCATTTACTCCGACAGGAATTTTGTTTGGTGGGCTAAAGTTCCTCTTAAAATGTGTATTACACGTGCTTGTGGCATGTGATAATAAGGTTCATGTTATGGTCATTCTACTTATAAGGAGAATTTAGCAACTTCGCAATGATGTTGTGCATGGCAAGGAAGTGCCACTGGTTGATGTTATTATGGAATTTCCGGATAGTTATTATAAGCCCCTTGATCTAGCGAGGAATTATAGTCTAGAAGAAATATTAAAAGGGAAGATATTGGCATGGGAGGTTGTTCCTATTAGCATTCGGCCGACCGCGGCTCCTGTTCCTTGGCCACCACCTTTAGCAAATTGGGTCGTGTTGTCTGTTGATGGGCCTTTCTCATCTCATGATGGCAAGGCAGGTGCTGGTATATATGATCTTACGTCATAGTGATGGCTTTGTTATCTTTGTTGCTTACCGTGTTATATGCAATTGCAATGAGGTGCTTGAGGCGGAGATACATGCAATAATGCAGGGGATGACCCTTGCTTTACAACATATTGATCGACCCGTTAGGGTGCAATCTGATTTCTATACTGCATTTTTCGATCCTCTCTGGTGAGAGTATGTCCCGATCGACCTATGGTCATCTAGTAGCACAAATTAAATCTTTGATGGATAAGAGGGACTTCGTTCCACAAAAAAACCAGTAGGACTCAAAATAGGGTAGCAGATTGTATGGCAATTTATAGCCGTACCGAGTCATATACTGCGGTATGGACGAGCAGATGTCCTCCATGTTGTGAGGATTTATTGCCTCTCGATTGTAACCCTGTGAGTTTGGAATAAAACTCATGTATTATTTAAAAAAACTCCTCTGATCTCACAAATAGCACATGAATTACTGTCAGGCACACAGATTCAGATAGCTAGATTACGCGAACAAGCAATGGCCCTGTTTGGACACTCTAATTCAGTTAGAGGTTAGAGTTAGATTTTAACCATGGACTAATTCTAACAAAAGAGTTGTTTGGACGGTAGGGTTAGATTGAAAATAAATATTTTTCTCAACCATTTGACTATTTTGGACCCTTTTTGGATGGGAGGGGTAACATTCTTTACTATTTTTTTCTAGTGGGCTCAGGAGAACTAACCCAAATAAGCTCCTCTAGTGTGAGCTAGTTTTTTGGGGTGGGTTAGATCCAACTAACCCAAACTAACCCATCATATTTGGATACTTTTAGGTTATTTGAGCCCCAACTAACTAAAAGTAACTCTAACTTAGGGATCCAAACAGGGCCAATAACAAGGGACTGGGAGGGAAGCTCGGAGAGGAAGTCGTGGTGTCGTTTCAGCTGTGATCCATTTGGATCACAGCAGATCCTATATTACGCCCTTGCTTCCGATCGTAGCTTAGCGAACAACAGGGCGAAACGGGCCAGCCTACTTCGTGAAAGAACCCTGTTTTAGGAACCTTCTAGTAGGTTCCCTGAACTTTTTTTTCATTGGCCGATTTTTCTTTTTTCCCTTTTCTTTCTTTTTGTTTCTGTATTTCTGTTTCTATTTCTTTTCTTTTTTCCTTTTCTTTCATTTGGTCATTTTTTCATTTTTAATTTTATACTTTGTTTTCAATAAAATGCTTTGAAATTTGAATTTTTGTTTGTGCTTTCAATTTTTTTCATGGATTTGAAATTTTGTTCACAATTTAAAATTGTTCAGCGTATATCACAAAATGTTCAACGTGTGTTTAAATGTTTGTCCAGCGTTTACCACAAAATTGTTCAATGTGCAGTTAGACTGTTCATCGTATATTACAAAAATGTTTAATGTATATTTAAATTTTGTTCATCGTATATCACAAAATGTCTAATGTGTTTTAAATTTTGTTCAGCATATATCACAATTTTTTTCACTGTGTAGTTAAAAATTGTTCAGCATATGTATTACAGAATGTTCGATGGATATTTGTACATTGTTCATCGTATATAATTTTTTTTTGATAAAAGTTTTGTTTATAAAATCATCTTTTCCATAATGGTTCATGTTTAAAAAAATCATGTTTCAAAATTTTATACAAGAAAATATTATTCATTTTTCAAGGAAGATTAAAAAAATAGTCTTCCGTTGTACACAGTACTTTTAGTTCAGTGCGGTTATTAAGATAAACTGAGTGATCCTGCAGAGCTCCTGATCCAGCCCAGTTGTAATTCGGCAGGGCTGCTAACAACGATGCCTACCGCCTCACCTCACCTTACCTTATACCTCACCTAAAGCTAATCAATGATCGGAGGACGAAGATCAAGGTCAATACAAGAAATGCACATGCATGAATTAGAATAATTGGTCTGTTCAACGGTTCAACCAACATTTGCCACCTAGCTGTCTTCTCCTTGTACTTTCTTTGACCTCTTTCGGCTACTGAAAGAGCTTTCTTTCCAAATTATGCACATTTACTACAAACGGTCTATTTGCTATGTCATCTGTTTTGCGTTCCTTGATGTTCTGTTATCAAATTATTACACATGTTTTTTCAGTTTAGACAGTTCTATTAAAAATGGTACCATAGCAAAGGAAATTTACCCTGCTAATTTGCAGTTGCTGATATGTGGGCATTAATTATTTAACTTGTACCAACCTCTAACATGAAATTAGCTGATCAATATGACTATATGAGTGTTGAAGCCAAAAAAAAGTGGCTGTAACGACTGATGAGCATTGCTTTCTTTAGCGCTAACGTATTTGATGTGATAGTGTGATCAACTAAACCCCATCGGTATCGGTGTAGCCCGCTTGGCACTAGTGATTTGTTCAAGGAATCAGGGTCGGGGGACGGTAGAGTTGTTGACGAGCACAACTAACCCAACTGCACCCGAACAAACCAAACCAAATCGCGTTAGTCAGTGTACTAACTGCACCGCTTCGCTGAGCCTATATAGCCAGTAACCGCGGGTCCATCACCTGCCATCCTTGTACTCACATTCCAGCTCCACAGCAAAGTCTCCAAGAATTCAAAGTCTCCAAGACCTTAACTTGCTATCATGGCTGGGCGTGGACTTTTAGCTGCAGGTTTGGTCCTCCTCCTCGCCGCCGTCGCCCCGGCCTACGCCACGGACTACACCGTCGGCGACTCGCCGGGCTGGGCTAGCGGCGTGGACTACAGCACCTGGGCAAGCGACAAGACCTTCACCGTCGGTGACACGCTCGGTACGTGGCGCAGTACTACGATCATTGCTAGTATCAACGGCGCTCTTAGTGATAGTACTGGACCTCAAGTAGAGCACAGTGCTACCGGCTTGGCAAAATGGTTCGTGTACGTGCCAGCGCAGGCATGACTTGTTCGCCGGTGCACGTATTGTGTAGGCCGGCTTTCGTTGTGTAGGCCGACCTGACTGGTTTCCCATGTGTGCGTGCAGTGTTCCAGTACGGCGCCTCGCACAACGTGGCGGAGGTGGGGTCGTCGGACTACAGCGCCTGCTCGGCCACCAACTCCATCCAGTCGTTCAGCGACCAGGACACCAAGATCACGCTCACCAAGCCCGGCACGCGCTACTTCATCTGCGGCGTCAGCGGCCACTGCTCCGGCGGCATGAAGCTCGCCGTCAAGGTCGCCCCCGCAGCCACCGCCACGCCCACCCCGGCCACCTCGCCGGACGCGCCTTCGGCGACACCCTCCACGCCTTCGGAGACGCCCTCGACGTCCACCACCCCGGCCGGGGCGACAACGGCGCCTTCCTCGTCCAAATCAGCGGACAGCGTTGGCGGGGCCAGCGGTGTCGAGGCCCGCTCCGTGATGGGCTCTCTCGTTGGGGCCGCGGGCCTTGTCGGCCTCGCCCTGATGGGCTAGGCAAGAGGCAGTGCTTTGTTTCCCTTCTCCGAATTGTCCAGTACACGTTTTTTTTCTTCCCGCCGAGTTGCACACTGTGTGCTACTATGGCTCCTCTTTATCTGGGGCCTTTTCATTTGTGCTCTGTTCTGTTCTGTGGTAGATCCTCCGATTCGATCACGACTCGTGCTTGTACGACCACTTTGAAATATAGATTCTCCATCTGTCTGTCTTGTGACGTGTCTTGCGAAATCGTGTTATCGGATGTACGAGTGCATGCTGGCGTGGGGATCCTGCTAAATACTATGTCATTCTCTAAAAAAGATATGTCTTGTCCGTCAACGTGTAAGTTATGTACTTCAGGGAGCTCAGTCTATTGTACAATGGAACCCATCAGGAACAGGGTCTATCTTTCTGACCGAGGTCCCCGGCGTGAACTATAATTCAAATCTATGGTAGATAGTCAGGTACAATTTGAGGACATGATCAATCTCTAAGTTCATTATGCGCCTTCTGAAATTTAAGACAATACACGTTCCCCCTCTTCGATTAGTTTCTGAGTCTTGGCTAACAGCCTCTTTGGAATGACATCCTGGACGCCATCATCCTGCACAGAAAGCATGGAACCTAATTACCGGACAAAAGACATAACAAAAGACCGAACATCCATAGGCTTCAAACGTCAAAGAAAGTAATAAATTCACCAAAGAGATACAAAAAGATGCATGCACGAATTGGCCATACATAGTAACAATAAAGACATGAGCACAAATCAACCCACCTTCTCATTGACCAAAACCAAGTGCACCCATAAGAGATCTCCATTCCTGGCATCGTTACTATCTTCCCAGAGATGACAGTCTCTTGCGCAGATGGATTCGTCAGTCCTGAGATCCGCCATTTAGGTCCCAACAACAAATTCGCCAATATCCCCAACACATTTATGAATATAAACTACATAGAGATTCCCATGTGTGAAAAAGGAGCTCGTAAGACTACCCACAGTGAGAGTAATATAGATGATAACATCACACTTATCTAGACAAAATAGATGATGTGGCATGCAATTAATGAAGAAAAAGAGGTATGTGATAACATGGCTAGTTACTGTAACATCACACATACTCCCTCTTTTCCGGTTTATAGGGCTTATCTTAAAATTTTAGTTTTTCCATTTTATAAGGCTCAATTTGGTTGTTCTCCATCACATGTTCAGACTTCAAGGTGCATTAAATCATTGCATGCAAGTATTAAGATAAAATTGACCAATGCATGCACTTTATGCATGCATGTGTTGCAATTAATGCATTCGTAAACATAATTTTTTGAGGAAAACAAAAGGATTAATTGGGTGCTTTTGCAAACTATAGAAAATATTACATCACTCATCATCTACCTTGGTTGGTGAGATTTTTGAATTGAGCCTTATAAACCGGAAAGGAGGGAGTGTCAAGAAAAGATGAGTCTATAACCTAGTAATAAATGAAGTAATGCATGACACAATACATATGTTACTACCCACTGTGGAGGTCGTAACATAGAGTAGTAATATACGCATGTTATTACTCTAAGTTACTATCCATTGTGACTAGTCTAAGTAAAGGATTGCCTTCACAAGGAATTGGCTACGTTGAAGCACAAACAACCATGTAGGATGATTGCATTTTCCTTGAAATGAGGGAAAACCCTTGGCCATCCAGTGATACAAACAAGCATCTACGATTGGTTGCTCTGAACCATAGGAAAAAGAACGCACCCCCCCCCCCTTAATGAAGAAAAAGAGGCATGTGATAACATGGCTAGTTACTGTAATATCACACATACTCCCTCTTTTCCGGTTTATAGGGCTTATCTCAAAATTTTAGTTTTTCCATTTTATAAGGCCCAATTTGGTTGTTCCCCATCACATGTTCAGACTTCAAGGTGCATTAAATCATTGTATGCAAGTATTAAGAGAAAATTGACCAATGCATGCACTTTATGCATGTATGCGTTGCAATTAATGCATTCATAAACATAATTTTTTGAGGAAAATAAAAGAATTAATTGGGTGCTTTTGCAAACTATAAAAAATATTTCATCACTCATCATCTACCTTGGTTGGTGAGATTTTTGAATTGAGCCTTATAAACCGGAAAGGAGGGAGTATCAAGAAAAGATGAGTCTATAACCTAGTAATAAATGAAGTAATGCATGACACAATACATATGTTACTACCCACTGTGGAGGTCGTAACATAGAGTAGTAATATACGCATGTTATTACTCTAAGTTACTATCCATTGTGACTAGTCTAAGTAAAGGACTGCCTTCACAAGGAATTGGCTACGTTGAAGCACAAACGACCATGTAGGATGATTGCATTTTCCTTGAAATGAGGGAAAACCCTTGGCCATCCAGTGATACAAACAAGCATCTACGATTGATTGCTCTGAACCATAGGAAAAAGAACGCGCCCCCCCTCTCTTAATGAAGAAAAAGAGGCATGTGATAACATGGCTAGTTACTGTAACATCACACATACTCCCTCTTTTCCGGTTTATAGGGCTTATCTCAAAATTTTAGTTTTTCCATTTTATAAGGCTCAATTTGGTTGTTCCCCATCACATGTTCAGACTTCAAGGTGCATTAAATCATTGCATGCAAATATTAAGAGAAAATTGACCAATGCATGCACTTTATGCATGCATGCGTTGCAATTAATGCATTCATAAACATATTTTTTTGAGGAAAATAAAAGGATTAATTGAGTGCTTTTGCAAACTATAGAAAATATTCCATCACTCATCATCTACCTTGGTTGGTGAGATTTTTGAATTGAGCCTTATAAACCGGAAAGGAGGGAGTATCAAGAAAAGATGAGTCTATAACCTAGTAATAAATGAAGTAATGCATGACACAATACATATGTTACTACCCACTGTGGAGGTCGTAACATAGAGTAGTAATATACGCATGTTATTACTCTAAGTTACTATCCATTGTGACTAGTCTAAGTAAAGGACTGCCTTCACAAGGAATTGGCTACGTTGAAGCACAAACGACCATGTAGGATGATTGCATTTTCCTTGAAATGAGGGAAAACCCTTGGCCATCCAGTGATACAAACAAGCATCTACGATTGGTTGCTCTGAACCATAGGAAAAAGAACGGACTCCCCCCCCCCCCCAAAAGACAGAAAGAAAGAGGCCAATGCCCAACCGGTTTGTAGACTGTCCGCCGATCACATCAGTAAACAGGACTAATTATACAATTACGCGAGAAATGATGAGTGGGAAAAGCACACGCACCACCGCGGAACAAGGGGCGAAACTGACGTAAGGACAACACAGACGGCTAGAACGATGTCATTGATGTCGCTCGTCAAACCAGAAGAAGAAAGTTGGGCCGTAACTAACACCCTAGAGAAATTGTACCGCTGACCACTCCAAACTCTCCGAGTGCACATAGGAAATCTTAGACATGCAACATGCGGCAAGCCAGTTTGGACAGACGGAAGACCGTCCTTCCTCTCACTGACCATCGTAGCAAACAGAGCGATCTCCTCCTCACCAGTGGGCCTTGCCTCACGAGTGCAACCCGAAGCGCTCCTAACTATGTTTCCCAGGAATATAATGTAAGAGGGACTTGTGCCCCCAAAGAAGTTGCATGATGGGAACACATAGCTTGATTGACAATAGGTGGACCGAGGTGTGCGAGACCATACAACCAGTGGACATGAGTGAAACTGATGCTGGATACCATGAATTGGCAACAATGAACTCCGAGAGCTCCAATCCAATGACTATAAGAGATTTACACGCCACCCAACAATCTCGATCATAAGAGACCAACCCTTGCACCATCAATAACCCCGGCCCACACCACCCAACCTCTTACCATCTAGACATACAACCTAGTCAAAATCGTGCGCAAAATATAAAATTGAACAGCTCAATCAAAATTAGGAAGCATAGTGAATTTAAAAATACACATCGAGAACGGGTGGCACGTGGTGCCCCCAACGACCCGGAATCTCATGTGCTGGTATGTCTGTGTGTGATACCACGACCATGAGAGGAGAAAGCAAATCAATATTTTTCATTTGGAAAGAGAAAGCAAATCCATTGTTAACAGAAAGTAAACCATAAAACACGAGTGAAGGCCACAATGACCATATTCGAATCCAAACGGGCCAATCTTTAACTCTAGACGGGAGGGAGAGTTCGCTATTCTCATGATACATTTGGGTCCATGAATCTTACGTCGCGTGCACTCAAAAACATCATCGGTTTTACGCTGAAAATACTAAATCAATCCTTTTCGCTCAAAGAAATTATATCAATCCCTAGCAGACCTCGCAAGATGGGTTGGCATGGTCCGACCTTGTATCACCCCAGGAGTTAAGCTACAGTAATCACACACAAATGGTACCATGTCATCACAATTAATTTGCTAAATCGCACCTTGGTCCAAACCGAGTTCAAATTCAAATTTTAAAGTAAAGTCAAATAAATCATTTATTCAAACTGCAAACAAAAGTGTTCATAATATTTCAAATAATCCACTGATACTTTTCATGAAGAAAACCCACTTGAGAGAGTTTCTAAAATGCCCCTAACTAATTTTAGAATGTACCAACATCATTTAAAGTGGTCTAATTAAATGCAAACACAATTATAAACTTTTCCAGTTGGCCTCAAACTTTTTGAGCAACCTTAGAATATTCCAAATAATTTATGTACCAAGTTTAGTATTTAGCAAAAAAATGTTTGGACACTCTTTCAATTAGAAAAGAGTGGCATTTTTTTTTAAAAAAGTAAGAAAATGCTAAAGACCTAGTGACCTATGGGCCATAAGTGGCTGCAGTAACACGGCCCAGCCCACACAGGCCTCCTTCTACATCCCGCTAAAGGAGGCAGAGAGGTCGTGGCGCACATCCAGGGCGCCATGCCCATGGATAGCCACCACGTCGCCCCCCTGATGCTATATCTATGTTCCCCGGAAACCCTGGACAACCCTCTTCCATTCCCCCTCGTTCCC